GACAGTCTCGTGCGCTGGGGATAAAAAATGTTGTTTCCGTACAGCATCGCCACTGCTCGCTTTGAAATCGTTGAATTCGTTAATAAAATATTCCTTAAAGTTTTACAAAATATGAAATAGGTAATAAATTCGAAACTCAAAATTCGTGCTCCCAGGAGTCCATGTTCAGGTTGGGGACTACGTTATTCAGAATTTGGTGGCTCTAGATAGCGTTGCTTTTTCACAATGCAAGAAACATGCAACATGTGCTCATGTAGAATATTCATTATTTAATTTCTTTAAATATAATATATGGAGACAGTATATGGTGGAAGCAATTCGAAAAGTGATTCAACGCATTTAAACGCTTTGACTCAAAATACCGTTTTGGGACGCATATCCTACTGGGGCTAATGTCACTTTTCGGCTAAAAATATTGTAGAGTTCCTCACTTTGTAAAGGCTAAGTTGCTTATGAACGTGAAGAATCTTAAGAACTGTTGAGCGAATGATCGCTTGAGTTCGTGGGACAAGAAACAACAAGATGGAAGGGTAACTAACCCTTTATTATTCAAATAAGATTTAACAGAACTCCGTCTTGGAGTGTACAATAAAAGCCGACACTTGGGCTTGAACTTAAGAGGCTAAGAAATAAACTAAAACGAATCTAGACTAAAGAGATATAGCCGAAGCTATCAAGATTCTAACCGAGTTGACTCCTTAACGCTAATTGACTGCGAAGCTATCAAGGCCCTGAGTACGACCTAGCGTAATAACAACTTTGCGAGAGAGAAGCCAAAAAGGCAGACGCGCGCAAATCAGAAACTCTGTTTCTCTCTAACTCAGCAAGTAGAACTTCGCGGTTAAACACCGCTCTTCCTAAATATGTATTCAGAGTGATTCTAAAACTACGTTCTGGCCGGAAGTAGTAAGTTGAAGTTAAGAATTTGACAGGAAAGGATCTTTAACTTAAAATTTAACTCTTAATAAAATTAACATGATCCTTACAAGATGATCTGAAACTGTTAAAGGATAATTATTTTTTCAATGTGTTATAAACAAAAATGTGGAATAATTAACTTTCAAATTTATCATATGATTATATATTATTTCTTGCTAGTGCTTGAGAAGCGTTTATTTTTCTCACTTTTGTGTATTAAAAAGCCAAACTTGTCATATGAGTTTCTAAGTGAGGAATATTTTACGCGAATGGCTGACCTTTTGGTTTTACGTAATGAAGAAATAATCATAATTAACTCCTAAATCAGCAATTGTTGGGATATCCGTTCGGTATCAGGTTCAAAAAGGAAACATCTGAATGTGCATTAAAGAATTCTTATTTTGTTTCGACGCACTACAATAAAAAAATTCTTTATACTTCCTGATTCTCATGTCGAATAGTGCGAACAGGTCTCACTTAGAACATTTTTTACAGAGCGAGAAACATTCATGCAAATTCTTCATTATTTAATTTATTTTAAATATAATTCAGGGCTCTAATATTGGGTGGAAACAATATGAAAAGTGAAACACCGTTTATAGTGAAACTTCACAAAAAGCCAAAACGAAATTAACAGCTTTTCTGGGCTAATAAACTTTAAATGATAAATTATATTTTCACTTTAATCTCATTGTCAGTTACATTCGAAACATAATTAAATACTTTTATTATAAGAAATAGTAATTTATAAACCAAATTAATAACATACAGAGAAATATTTTATGTATTTCCAAAGTACAAATACAGCTTATCAGTGGGCCGTGGCCTGAGAGTGCATGGTGTGTTTTTTTTTTCTTATGTTTTCTCCGTCTGTAACTTAAAATTTGAGTTAGCTTCCTTTAGAAAATCCTCCACGAAGATATTTCTCCTTATCCTGATTGATGTAGCATGCTCTGAAATAAAACTAATAATTTAAAAAACTATTTTAGTTTTTGCATTATTCTTTGTCATGTGCTTTTCCTGGTAACTTTTCTTCTGAAACATTATTCAGAAATTTTCGTCAACGATATCAGTTTATTATTTTCTTTACTTTCCATCAAAAGCTTAATATATTAGGTAAGACCAATTCTATATATTGAAATTATTTCAATATACATTTCTATCTAAAGATTCTGTATATTGAAATTATATTGAATAATTTCATGTGCTATAAAAAATTCTTAACATTTATTACTACTAGACAAAGACCAGTTTCAGCGATTTCAAGAATATGGATTTTAAAAGTATTGCAAATATTCTTCTGAGTCGAGCAGAGGTATACTTCCAAAAGCTGGAAAACATTTTGATGATAGAACATGAGATCCAGAAGTGGAATTGATAGGTCAGTGGTAAATACATTTATTTTCAATTTTAAACATACAGGCTAAAATTGTTCGCGCAAATTTGTTTTCTTCCTTTCTTCTTCAGAATCGGTACAGTAAGACGCTATGCGAAACGTAATATCTCCAGAAAAATTTATACAGGGGAAGATATCTCCACGATGATGATTACCTGCGTAAGTATAATAGAAATTAACTACTGAAGATTTACTAAGATACTACTAAAGAGAGAAGTTTTTGTTACAAAAAATAAATTTTTATACTGTGGTCCGAAATGTTTTATGATATATTCGAATGCATTATTTACTTTGTGAATAGAGTTTCTAGTAATTTCCACTTCTCGAAATTACTGAAAAGCATGTGAGCACTAGTTACGGTTACAGCTGCATATAGCATCAATTATGGTTATTCAATTTCAACACCAATTCCAATTTACAGGGACTGGTCCAAAATGTCGCCAAGTTAGGCACTTATTGCAGTAGTTTTTAATATAATGTAATGGTGGTTTCTTTCATTACATATATTTTCTGTTAAATGCATTGAAAAAATAAATTTGTCTACAACAACCTGGGATAAAAATTTATTTAGAGCATTATAAATACATTTCCTCTAATTGCATTAATTCTATAATTGCATTTTTGAGATAAAAGACATTCGCAGTAAGCAGAACGGAAACTGAAAAATACAGATTCTCAAATGAAATTTTTGTGTTTTAATAATTATTCTTGTAAAATAATAGACTAATTTTACTAGCCATTCCTTGCAAAATTTTGACCATTTTGTTATTTTTTACATATATAAAAATTAAACTGTAGTTTCTAATAAGAACCAAATTAATAGTAATCAAAAACGTATAACACATGGAACTCTAAACCAGATTTCACTTTATGTATTATTTTATTTTCTTCAAACATTTATAGCAGAAATTAAGTGTCAGATATGGAAGTATTGGATGAAATTACACTGATACAAATGACTCTCATTTTGAATTAAAATTTGAAAATATTTAGAATGATTTAAATATATTTTGTCACTTTAGTAACTATTTCAATATTATATTATAAAGCCTTAATATAATTATGGAGTCCACAAATGGTATAATCAAACTAAAAAAATAGTTTCAAATAATTTGTTTCCGTTAGACCTTAAATATTGCACTTATTCTAAAAATAAAAAATCAGTTATCAAGCCTTTCTTTTAATAAGGGCTTAGCTGCGAATAATTCTTATTTTTGGTATTACTAACAGTTAAGCTACTGTTTAAGTCCCAATATATACATCTCAACAAATTGACACCAAGCTCAAAAAAGAAAAAATACAAATAAGAAAAAAACTGATGTGTACACCACATGACTTCCTTGTACGGGATATTAAATTATACGCATTTTTCCCAGCACTTCGTTTAAGCTTACTTCCTCGAATTTCATTACAGATACATTTCTCATTCAATGAATTCAGTTCTCACTTCGAGACAAGGCAAAAATAGATAAAACCTCAAAATATCTTTATTAAAAGTTGAAGATACTGAAAAATATAAAACATAAATTCAGTTAAAACCATTTTAAGAAAAATATTTGCAATTAAAATTAGGGTTTCTAAGCAAAAATAAGCAATTCAGCCAGCGGACAAAAAAACAGCTAAACTGACTTAATTTGCTGTGGACGCTATGCTGAGTCAATATATGGGATAATTAATTAACTTAAATGATAAGTCCAGAATGGATTAAGCATGATTTAATTCGCAATAATAAAAGAAGACGTTATCTTTCTTAATGCGAAGCTTAGTTTCTCTAGATTGGCAACAAATCCACTATTCTGCAAAGTTTCAAATGTAAAGAAATATGGCTGCTCTGGTAAAAAAAATTAGGCTTCTCCGCAATTAAACAACTTTTAAACGGTTGATAATTCTTCAACTATCGTGTGGAAGTTAGTTAAAGGCATAAATCTTTAACCGGAAGATAAGAGCAACATATTTCAATAATTTTGAAGCAACACAGTGTCGTTTCAATTATTAATAATTACTGGTTGGACCTGTGAAATAATAACACTAACTGGATTTATTAAAATCACTGTATATATATTTTGCTTTTTATAATTATTGATTTAGGCGGCTAGTCTAGCAAACACGAAGCCCCACTAGTGTCATAGTCGTTAAAACCACTGAATACTAGTAGTTCGACCAGGCGAGCGGATTGGCTGTAGGGTTTGTTTCTGCGCATGTTTCAATGTGTAGCTTAAATACGCGCCAGCTTCTCTCAGAAATTTCTTCACGAAAATACCCATCCTCTTAGGCAGATAGCCTCCGTGGCTATCTGCCTTTGCTGTATTTAAATAGCCTAACCTAGCGAAAACGAGTTTGGTAAGCTAAGATCGGAATGTCGAACTAGAATAAAAGGAGGCAAATTATTTTAAAAATAAATAGATTGAAATCATTCCTTTCAACAAGTTTAAGAGCAATATTTTACAAGCAGATAATCTTTATCAAGAATATCAGATCTTCAAATATTAATTCCATTTAAGACTTATGGTTTCTGCAATAAGTCTCAAATTTGCAATAAGTATTTGGTCTTCTCGTTAGCATACAGAAGCACTTTTGTGCAATCGTCAATTAATGCTGCTCTGAGGATATCCGCTCGTATCAGCATCTCAAAAGGAAACAGCTATATCAATTAAAGCTGAATTTCCTTTTATGATCACTTTGCATCTGAATTTCCTAGGGTAAAATATTTTTCGCGTGTCCTTACTAGAGCTTAACACGTTTAATCCGAAAAAAATGTGGATCTTTATTTTCGCCTCTCTTCTAATCTTCTGCTCAGGTAAGAAAGTGCTTTTCAGCAGTTATTAAGATACATAACAGGACATGGCCCCTTCGCAAAGTTTCACAGTCTGTGAGGATATTGAATCTCTGGTTCATTATATAATGGAATGTTCCTTCGATATTAAATTTCTTGCAGCGAATCATAGTTCTTTAAAAAAATTGCTATTAAGCAAAGATGTCTCTTCTTAAAATTTGTATAATTACAAATCTATTTGCTGTAACGGGAAAAGATGATCTGCCATTTCTCTTAAAAACAAGAACATGGTGACAGCAGATTTATTGCTTCTTTAAAATTTCTTTTATTTATAAGCTATTTATGAATATAAGGTGTAAATGCTCAATTCAGACATTATGATTATTTGCATGATGGATTTCATGAATTTTTATCGAACTTTATATAGTCCATGAACTGTGGATTTTATAAACTTTGTATTTTTAATTCAATTTTATTTTTTTATTTTTTTATTCTTCTTTCACTACAAATGTAATATAAAAACTGTAATTAATTTGGTTATTGTTAATTAAAATAAGTCTAGTCAATGATGAATGTGGGACGTTGCATGTTAACCAGTAAAGACCAGGTGACCCCATTCATCGTCAATTGAGATGAACTGATGATACGGCACTGGGTATTGATATTTATTCAAGAAACCTCTGACATATCTTAACTCATTCACACCTAAAAAATTAACTTCTCTTCTCAGATAAGGCACTGTAAATTATTAAATTACCGCATATATACAGATATGCACAGTGTTTAATAATAATTATTGATGATAAGAAATAATTAATAGAGTTTAGAAAAGATGTTAATACAATGTTCCATTTCGCCTTTTCACCTACTCTCAGATGTTTACTCAGTTTACTGTAATTGGCGTACTTTTTACACTTTTGGGTTGTTTGCATACTTTGATCAACTTTAACAAACCTGTTAACTAATTGTAACTAATGTAACACAGTTGATCGGTTCTTGATTGAATTCCAAACTGAACCTCTCTCTTTGTATCTTGACTCCTTTTCTTCACATATAGTCCAAATTTATTTCGTTTTAAAAATAAGGGGACAGGTTTTGAATATACAGAAACTTTGAAGTAAATTAATGAATATGTGATTAACATGATTACATATAAATACGAATAAATACACCTTGTATAGCATAAAATCGGCGGCGTCAGATGCATTGTGTTTAGGTTTGGTTTGGTTTGATTTATGTGATTATGGCAAAGTCTCAAAAGCTATCAGCCTAAAGGGAGGGATACCTTCGTGGAGGACTTTCTAATGGAAACTGGCTTGTATACACGTTACACATGGAGAAAACTATGAAAGGCCCATGCATCCAGCCCTTTCGCCAGATACATTGTGGAAATCGACGAAAGCACGTTCACGCTACACAACAATAATGCTGGAAGAATGTTGCCTCCTCACTGGATATTTGTGCGCATTTGTGGCGAAACATTTCTTGAAATTTTTCCCTATCGTAGTGGCGCTACACTGATGAACGAAATTAAAAAACGCATTAAAGAAGGAACTACCATATTCTCCGACTGCTCGAAGGGGTATAAAACAGAACTTGAACAATCTCGATGCATACATTGTAAAGTAAATCGCAAATACAATTTCGTCGATCCTGAAACTGGTATACACACGCAAAATAAAGAAAGCATATGGGAAAGTTCTGAATGGCGAAATAAAAAGCATCGTGGAAGAGTTCTCCACCACCCTCAGCGGTGTTTCTTTGGAGGAAATGACACGCTGCAACTGATATATTCGATGCCTTTCTAAGGACGATCGCTAAACATTTTCCCCAGAAATCTCAGCATTCCCAGCGGAATGCGTTTAATAAGAAACAACACAAAAAAGATTAGTAATGCTCTCTAACAAAGTATTTGGTTAGGGTATCAAGTTTTAGGTAGCGCCCAAATTATTCGACAATATGGAAAACTCTACAATAACTTTGTTTTCATAAAAACTAATAATGTTTGTTTCAAAGTCCCACTAAAAAATACAATGTTTAAGACTGGCCAGACTGCCAAAACTAACCCAGCCTATTATAAACGTAACGTATTAATCGAGCTCTTTTTTAATTTCTTTAATTACAAACAAAACGCTATTTCATGAATAAATTTGCAACAAATATTACCAAACTTCGTTAAGCCAAAACTGAACTAAGTGTAACGTTTCCCAAACTTCAAATACTAAGACTAGTTGTCATTTTAAATATTTATTTTAAAACTTAACGCAAGTTTTCTTGGTTAACTAAAAGGTAAAAAATACAGCTCAGTTACAGAAAAAAATCAGCAGCTGTCCTGTGTTTCGGCGTGTTTACTACTACGGCGTGTTTCAGAAAAAAGCTCTTTTTTACCTTCTTATTTTGCGCCGCAAGGAAACCGTGCGAGGGGGTTGTCCTTAACGAGTTTTTTCCTTGATCACTTTCCGGCCCTTTCGGAGGACCCTGTGGTTCTTACTCAAGTGAAACACAAGAAGTCCTCTAATAAAAATCTCATGCTTTATCAATGAATTGATAGTCACGCTAGCAAAATGAAATTTAGAGTAAGCTAAAACTCGACTGATTGGAAAACGTTAACATTAGTTTCATGTTCTATTTATGACATTCATTTTCGTATGGTCGCATGTTTCGTCTTAACCGAAATTCTACATTATTAAACACAGAATTTAATGGCGAATGACCGAACAATTTTATGTTTCTATACCTGCAGGTGATTCCGAATCTGAAATTTGCGAACAGAGATACCAGGATGCATGTCCCTTAGAATCATTACCCAAGCTCGATGATTTAAGCAGCGAAGAAGTATTGAACACGCTTTGTCCGTAAGTATAACCTTTGAAAAACTTCAAAACGGGTAAAGTGGAAGAAAACACTGATTTTCTAGAACATTGCTCTAAACATTTCTCTTAGATTTTTCTATTATTCGCGGTAGTAATCAGAGTTCAGCATATCATTATCGTTAATGTAATAGTTCATATGTCAAAAAGCATTTGAGAACACGCTAGGTTCTACTCATTTCGTCTATATGAGAAGAAAAAATAACAAATTTAAAGAATTTAAGCCCTTCCGTACACTTTAATTATTTAAAAATGTAACTAATTTCTCAGCAAGTCTTTTAGTCATCATATAAATATGCTTCGCTACTTGATTTTACGGTGTGCTAATTTCTGTATTATGATTTTACTTCAAAAACAAAAGCAACCCTTTAAAAATGTTAACTTAAGTCAATTACATTATTTCATTATGGCAAAGCACTTCATGGCTATCTGCCTAAGGGAAAGGATACCTGCATAGAGATTTTTTAAGGGAGGTTGACTCATATACACGTTACACATGGAAAAACCGCGAATACGCTCAGACAGCCAACTCGTATGCGGGATTCGAACTTCAGACCGATATGCCAGTGTTCAACAACTTTCTTTTAGAACATTGTATAAACGTTTTTACATGCTGGCTATATATAAGTGTACTACTAACATTAGTATTGGACATATTGTTGTCCGTTTTAGAAGTATCCGCACATGGAGGTAATTAGGAATGTCCTCCCAGAACGCTCCTGACACGATAGTGAAACACTTGCATTGAAAGTGTTTCCCACACTTTGTACTGCAGTCTGTTATTTTAAAATAGTAACGTCAAGGTTATTATTCTCTGCCCAGTTTCCCCGTAATCATGGGAATAACAGCTGCATCTAAGGGTGTTATTCGAATAATTTTTTTTTTTTTTTTTTTACTCTTCATTTCCGTTTAGCTTGTTTCGCTTTATGAAACGCGCACAGTAAAGCATCATTCTTATTGCTGTGTCAAATGAGATGCAGAAAATACGTGCAGTGACGACGACATTCGTTAAGATCGCAAGTGGGGACGGCTTGCAACGGTCTTGAAGCGCCTACTTTGACAAAACAGACTGCAGTTAAACAGGCTTTGTTTCTTACATTGGATACATATGTATATTGGTCTAAGTGGTTAATGAGATAGGCAAACAATAGACACTTATACATTTAAAGAAATGAAACACTGACGCAACTGGCGCAATAATGCAGAAGATGACAAATTAATCAATACACGTAATCGTGTGGCATCCTACATGACTATACATAAACTACTAGAAATGATATGCATAAACACATACGAATGAGGGCGATAAATGAAAACACATAATCATACATTATTCTACTGGGCTATACACACATCAATAAAAATGATACATACACACCTATACGTTGACAGAAATGATACACTGAGAATGAAAATTGGGTTAACTTCTACCACTGAACAACCTATTTAGGCATTTATTGAAACGATTGTTATGTATCATAGACGTCGTAGATTAATAAGCCATGCTAATATTTAGTGGCAACATTTTTAAAAAGTGATTCGCCGTTCAACGCAGAATGCCAAAAGGAAATCAATAGCCCTTCTGGGCAAGTTGCCGCTTTGGGCGCATTACATTTCTATAATTATTTTTTATTTCATTATTTAAATTTTTCATTTTGTTAAAAGAAAGGGGGGGAAAGAGAGTTGAAGATCGTCAGACGTTTTCAGGTTGTACATTTTGCCAGCATGCAATTTGAGTTTGAGACCATTTATGTAAGATATGTCGATATAATCTGCTTCAGTACACATTTCTTGAACACTTGCGTCTGATGGTGGAGTCGGTTGATCTCGCAGATGGTTCTTTAAAGACATCAATCTGAAAAGAAATGTGCGAAGAACAGATTCATTATCATTATTTCTTTATGTTTTGTATATAACCCGTGTCCACTGTCTTTATTCGGCCTTTATGTTCGCAACGGTTGCTCACAGAAATATACTTTCAGATACAAAAATGTTTTAAATGACGTAAAAATTCTCTTTTCGGAAATTTTAAATTTAAGAATTCAGTTTTGTAAAGCTAACAAAACCTAACTTCTTATATGTTCCTCCGGTCCCTATATTCAACTTATATTATTTCCTAATGCTTATATTTAGGAAAATAAAGATATATTCAGGGAAACTCTTCTCTCCTTACATAAAAGACCGAAAGTTTGACTACCGTACGATAAGCGATATTTACATGCTTTGTCAGAAATGTTGCAGGACAAAGATCGTAGAAAATAGAAAATTGCATTTATCAAATAATCATCCTTAGCTGCTATCAAAGTAGTCCTCTTGGCTATCCATACACAACTGTCAACGTTACTGGAAGTTTCGGAAGCAAGGAGGGAAATCTTCAAATGCGATGCTTGTAAACTCATTTGTGACAGTTGGATGTCTGCAAAGATCTCGATGAAGCTTTCCTTTCAGCCACCTTTTCACTCAACGAAACAAAAAAAAATCACAATAATCTTTGATACAAATGTGGGATCACATCTAGCTCTATCCAATAGTTCAGCAGAAATTCTTCGTCTTTCCTCTTTCTGTTCATCTGTTAGTGAGTAAGGGACGATTCTTTTCCGTTTCCGTAAATGTTTGCGGAAAATCTTATGACACAAATCACGATTCAAAATCACTTCTTCTGATATCGTATGTACAGTTACACGACGGTATCCTTGCAATAATTACCTTACATACTCCACGTTTGCATCGGTATATGCTATAGACGGGCGACCAGCTTTTGGGATCGTCTTGCACTGAATCTCTGCTTTCACGAAACCTTTTATGCCACTCAAAAACACGACTTCTTGAAAGTGCCTCGCCTGCATATGCTTGCTTAATTATATATATTTCATAATCATGTTCCACGTTTCACTAGAGGTTTTTCCGAGCTAACCACATAACTTGATCTTCACTCTTTGCTCACAATCAGCATCCATTGTGCCATCTTAACCCTCTCGCAGCGCATCCTGCGATTTTCACGGGCAACATAAAAGTAGCAAAATTTGCGCAACCCGCGATATCCGCGGGGATGAATTTTTGCCGTCTATTTAACTGCAACTCGCTCTTTCCCCGTCCAAGGTTTCCTTTCGGCTTTTCTGTGATCTTTAATTGTTTATTTAGATGTGGGCTAACAAATGGCGTTAGGTTTACACATGTCTGCCAAATATACAAGAATACGTAATGTAGCATTTTGCGCGGGCTTTTCAGAGCTCAAAAATGTCTGGCAGGAAGCTTTTCGCGAGTGATATAACCTATATGCTTGACGATATTTCCGACACTGATAGTAGTTCTGATTCTGATTTCAAGTATATTGAAGATAGTTATAGCGAAACTGATGAGAATTTCTCGGATTCCTGTGCAGATAGTGATGAATCTGAAAATTTAATTTCTATTAAAAACGTTCGACAGTGGTGCAAAATATTACATTATGCAAATATTTTCATTAGTATATATGTTTTACCTTTGTATTTTATAAAATAAATCATAATTTAACAAATATTAATTTTCAAAATTTTTCTTTTATATCATTATTCTTCAATTTCAGTATTCTGGCAGTATTCAGTATAATCTAATTCTATATTAAAAAAAAACAACTCTTTTACAAAAGCAATTTTTTAACTTTAAAATATATGTAGATTTGAAATATGTAATAAAAAATACGCAATTTTTGAACCTATTTTGATTAAAAAAGTACGCAGTGAGAGGGTTAATGAATGCGACAATAATCCAAACAGTGTGTTACTAAGCACAGTCCTACTAGAAGAAAAAAAAATGTCCTGGAACTTTTCTGACAAAGGATGTATGATGGGCTTAACTGACAAACTGCATAAGTTTGACCACCTGATCAGGTTGAACTCGTCCCCATCTGGATTAGGCTGATGAAGTCTCATACTTCTCTCCAGTCGCTTTTTAAATGAAGGAGAATGTAAGGAATTATCGTCATATGTGTCTTTTTTAGAAGGCAGCTGGGAGACCAGTGGCTAGAATCCGGGTAAAGGGTAATTCAGCTTCAAGTGAGTTTCTACGGTTTGCTCTTCAGTATGCTAATGAGACTTTTGAAAGCGGTGTCTTTACTTTAAAATTAGTAATTTCCGGCCTAGAACTTATTTCAATAATTGCAGTTTTACGTGACATATTACTAAACTATCATCCTCAAGTGCTTATGTTTTAAAATCATAACTATTTCAGATTGAATCTGAAAAGCTAATAAATAATTTGTAAATAATATTGTTATATTTAATGACAGATATGCTATCTTCAATACAGAGTTGTGAAGGATCACATACAATGCATCGACGGTTACGAGAGAATCTGCAACGTTAAACTTTTCAACTTTCCTGAAGAGTACGAAAACGTAAGAAATCTCTTGATCGATATTTGTAACGAAACCACTCAACTCCACCATGGTAAGTCAGATGTTATGGCTTTAAAATAATGAGATGCTTAATTTAAATTTTGATCGAGTTTAAAATTACAAACATGAGAGAGTAATTTTGTTTATCGTTTAGTAAGAGTAGAAACTACGTGCTTAATTTTGTTTAATGATATTTTATATAATTTTGTGTTGTGGATGATGTAATCAATGACATCACCTAACTTTAAAAGTAACTGATTTTAATAGCTATAAATTTAATCTAATGTTTTAAACATTATTTATGTCAGTTAAATATTAAAATACAATTTTAAAAAAATGATTTGATTATGCATGATTATTTAAATAATTTTAATTCTATGCGTGATGTAATCAGCTCCTTGATTGGTTACAGAATATTTGTGCATTATTGGTTACTGAATAATTGGTTACTGAATATTTGTGTATTCCCGCGCCATTTTAAAATTTTATTATTCATCTCTTCGAATTCTTTAGCTTTCATAGCGAGCGGATATGTCCCTTTCAAAGATGAAGGTTGTTATTGGTAAGTACCAATAATTATTGGTATCGGAATCAAAAATTGTCCTTTAAGACATTATTTTGGCCAACCTGGCTTTCCTAATCAAAGATTTACAAGGAGGTCAAGGCTGTTACAAGGATCAGAGGTAATTTATTTTAAATTTTTGGAGGAAACCTCGCTAATCAGCAATGACAGCTGATTAACGTTAAAAATAATTATATCCTGTAAAACTTATTTTAAAGGATTTGAATTCAAGTAATATTTTAATTCTTTTAAACGTTGGTATGATGTTTTTAATTCGATATTCAATTTAAGTAATATTTTAATCCATTTATACGTTGGCGCAATGTGTTTATAGCGGTGTTTTTATTCTATTTCTTTGCGATATGAAAATAATAATTTAACCTTACTTTAGTATTTTATACTCGTAGTAAACACATTTATTTACATTTGCCTGCCATCTTAAAAAACGACATTTGCAATAAATAATTAATCCGTTATTTTAACGATATTTATTATTTTTTTTAATTTCGAATACTTTGCTGTGCGTAAAATACGTAAAAACAGCGTTTTTCAAGATGGCTAACGTTCATTCAACAAAGTTATTTTCCTAAAACGAAGTCTCGTGTTCATTCAACAAAGTTATTTTCTTAAAACGAAGTCTCGTGTTCATTCAACAAAGTTATTCATAAAACGATATCCTGGATATCTCCCGAAGTTTATTGACGGCATTACGTGACAACTAGCTATCAATTACATCAGAAAGGTGCACTGTAAGGAAGAAGAAAATTCTCTACGATCTAGAAGACTCTGGATTCCGATGGACACTCATATTTATAGCTGTCTTCAAAGAGGAATTGCAAAGCAAAATATTGTAGAATCTCAGTCGTTTTGATAATATACACCGAGTGAAGACTCTTATGTAGACTTAAGCGACTTTTCACTATGTCTAGATAAGAAACGTACTAAGGGTGTAAAGGACTTTTTAATTGAGAACTCACTAAGCTGAAGAGATGGCACTTCCGATGCTTACAAATCAGCCAGTATTTATGGCGTGAACTTAAAAAAATAAAAAAATAAATAAATAAATAAAAATAAAAAAATTCAAATTCAAACTAAATTTAAGGCTTACCTAGCGAAAGGTTACCTAGAGATATTTAAACTCTCAAATTGTATCTTAACCTACACCGGCGTGAGAGCACCATTAGGAAGTTTACAGCAACTCCGTAGACAACCACTCCAATGCTTAAAATCGTAGAACAACTAATAACGTAGCTTTAGCAGGCAGAATACGCTTTGATTAACACGTTAACGATGTCTCTTGAATTAGCGGTCCGATTCGTTAGGCGGCGCAGCACCAAATTATAAAATAAAAAATTAAAAAATATAAAAAAATCTGAAAAGTTTCAGATTTTAAATTACGTCTAAAAAAAGGCTTTTTTTTTTTTTTTTTTTTTTTTTAGGTTTTTGTGTGTTACCTTTATTTATTCAATATCATGTTCTACGTACGCAAAATAACTTTAAATTGAGCGTATCTTTTAAATTTCAGATACACAGTCTCACGCGCTGGACATAAAAACGCATTTTTCTGTACATAAAAACGCTGGACATAAAAACGCATTTCTCGCTTTGAAATCCCTGAGCCTTTTTAATCAGAAATACGTTAACGGTTTACAAAATATGAATGGATAAAGAAACAAATTTCAAATTCAAATCAGGGTTGCCACATGTCCATATTCTTGGAAGATTACACTATTCAAATTTTAATGACTATAGGTACCGTTGTTTTATCACAATGCAAGAAACATACATTCATGCAGATTCTTCATTATTTTCTTTCTTTAAATATAATACAGGGCTATAATATTGGGTGGCAAGAATTTGAAAAGTGTTTCGCTGTTTATAATTTTCAACGCAAAATGCCAAAATGAAATTAATAGTCATTCAGGGCAAATTGCTCCTTTTGACTAAAAATTATAAAATTAAATTACTATATTATATTATATTATAAAATAAATAATTTATTTCGAATTTATTAATTATTTTGTAAGGATCTTAAGTTTTACTAACGTTTATTTTATTTTAAATCTTTACTATCACTTCTTATTTTCTACTTCCGGCCAGAATTATAAGCGTGAAGGAGTTTATGCAAAGTTTGTCTGGCGAACGCCAAGTATTTAAGTTGTGGCCTTTTTGCCAAGCAGAGAGGAGAGGAAGCAGTGAGTTCGAAGCAGGCCGCTTACCTTAGAAGTTACGCAGTTGCTACTTTGCCTTCCAGGCCAGAGGTTTTAATCCTCTTGATAAATTTAAACGTATTGTAGTGTTCACAGTCTCTGTGCTACATACGCTTTCCTGTTATTATAAGGCCAATCTTCCACGTTTATTCTAAAGTTAAATTAGAGTTTAGTTTTATTTTGATATCTTTTACGTTAGACCCCGAGTGGAGGGTCATTGTATTCCGAAGTACGGAAGTTATTGTATATAAGAAAAAAAATAAAGGGTTTTGTATACCCTTCGTCTGTATCCTGTCTACTTACTACAATTAGTGAACATAGCTTTAGTAAGCTCTCTGTTCCGAGTCAGGTCCTTGTATGTTTCCCGAAGAAGGTTAGAAGGAACATTGAACCTGATAGTGGCGCCCACGAAGAAGAATAACCATGGCCGAGTTTCAAGAAGAACCTGTGCTGCCTGCAGAAACGGCTCAGAATCCAGAAATGCCAGCTGCCGCCCTGGAAGGATTTGGGTTACATCGTCCAGACCATGCGCGCTTCGATGAAACCAGAAGCAACGTTTAATGGAAACTCACCGGTAACCAGTTTTTTGGAAAAATTGGATGACCACTTCATGCTCTACCCCGTGCACGAGTTTCAAAAAGTTACCTTAGCTACCAGCGCTTTGAGGGGCCAAGCGCTTAACTGGTTCAAATGTATCGGCAGAAGTCTCTTGGGTCAAGCAGGAAGTCCCACCTATACTTACGAAAATTTCAAGACTGCCCTACTAAAAGCCTTCCCTGTTGTAAGGGATCGTGCGAAATTAGAAACGGAACTTTTCAGTATATATCAACAAAGAATCGAAAACCTCTCGAGCTTTATTTTAAGAAAAATTCACGTTTTCAAGCTCTTGTATGGAAACCGTCCGGATCCTGAAATAATTCAAGTGATTTTGCCGAGGTTACTACCCCAAGTGCAAGACTTTATTGAATTAAGAAATCCGACTACACTGGAAAAGTTATTTGAGCTAGCAATCCAGTTTGAAAGTAGAAGAACGGCGGACGTCGAAAGAAGACGCCAATATCAACAGCGAAACCAATTTGGTACGCCAAGACTACAGCAAACTCAAGCACACATGGCTACGGAGAAAAAGCGAATCAGTGGGCAAGGAAACCCGAGCATTCAAAAACAGCCGGCGAACGTCGACAGTTCAATAGCAACCCAGGAAAAAAGTCTCAAGGCCAGTGGAAAAGAAGGAAAGCACGGAAAGGAAAAATAATTTAAACTAAAACGGATTTCTGCTGACGAGAGGGTGCGGAAATCCGAAGGCCACGAAAACCCCTCTTCCTACAAGTTAAATACAGTAATGGTGAAAAATTTGACTCTTCCGAAGATTGAAGTCTTGGTAAATAATATCCCGGCCACCGCACTCCTGGATACCGGCGCGCAGTGTTCCTGTGTGGCAGAAGAAGTCTTTTTTAGAAAGTATTTTCGCAAATACCGCATATATAATGCGGATAATACGACAGTATTAGCGGCGCAAGGAGAACAATGTAAGTGCGTAGGTAAAGTACCTTTGTACATCCGTATCAAGGACGAACAAGTAAAGGTGATGTTTTTTATAGTAAAGAATTTGCAAGCACACTTAATCTTAGGAATAGACTTTTCTTTCAGACGCACAAGCTACACTGGATTTTAATGAAGCGTCCCTTAAGCTGACGATGAAACCAGTTCGTGTAGAAAAGGTTGAACCGCCAAGGGTTAAATCTTGACCACCTGCCTAATGACGAGCAAGATAGAATCCGACAAGTGGTAAGTGAATTTGCTTCGTTATTTAGTGATATTCCAGGATTTACTCAGGTTACTAACCATAGTATTGACACCGGAGATGCATTGCCAGTTCGTCAAAAACCATACCGGTATGATAAGAATAAGGAAAAAATTATAGAATGGCATATTACCGATATGCTACGTAAAAAGATCATAACGCCCATCTCAAGTAGTTATGCTAGCCCGGTGGTTTTATGTAAGAAAAATAATGATTATCCTTTGGAGCATCCAAAAAGGTGGAGATTCGCTATTGATTACCGTAAATTAAATTCCATAACGAAATATCCGGTATATCCGTTACCGATTATAGAAGAAATTTTAAGGAACATAAAATCAACCAAATTTATGACGACTTTAGACTTAACGACTGGTTATTTTCAAATAGGGGTCAGGCCTGAGGACGTGCCTAAGACTGCTTTTATAACCAAGTCTGGCACTTATGCATTTTTGCGTAATGCCGTTTGGCCTTTCAGG